ACCTTGTTAGTATCTTAAGATAAGCATCTTATTGCTTCGTAATTACAATTATTACTTAACCTATACCTATTATAGGTTAGGTAATAATTGTAATTACGAAGCAATAAGATGCTTATCTTAACATACTAAGTAGGTTAGGTAAGGTCGGTGTTTTCTATGAATCTTTTTAAGGGTATCTATTATGTTAAGTATGTCACCTATGCACATATTTAATAAGTCAATATTGACTTATTAAATTTGCGAGAACGGGTTGTATATATGTAAAATTCATGACGTTTCGAATACTTCTCGTATTCATCATCAGCTCTAAAATACAAAAGTTAAATTAAAATTATTCTGCAAAACAAAGAATTCCTACCGGAGAGGATTACATATTTTAAGATATGCAATACAAAGTGACACTAGTTACAAAACAATAATAGTTAAACCACAGTTCAACTTACGTAAAGTGATCAAACAAAGTAAAATTTCATAATCTTCAACACTGATACCCAAAGCTAATTCGAAATTACAATTATAACTACAAACTTTCAAAAAAACTTATACAAAAGACAAGCATTTTAATACGTACGTGTAAATTAACAAACATTAATATTCCACAATATTGAACACTAAATGTTATACTATACGTCCAAATTAAACAAATATAACTAGCACGAGCATAGCCTGAAGATGTGTTAGGCTCGGCCGTAGCTAACCCGAGCATAGCCTGAAGATGTGTTAGGCTCGGCCGTAGCTAGCCCGAGCATAGCCTGAAGATGTATTACGCTCGGCCGTAGCTAGCCCGAGCATAGCCTGAAGATGTATTACGCTCGGCCGTAGCTAACCCGAGCATAGCCTGATAGAATGCTCTTCAGTACATACCACACACCTGCTCAATCACGCCAATGCTCACAATAACATGATCAACGTACACGAGTAATGTTAACAATCGTCGCCTCTCTCACCAAAAGCAAAAATAACCTCGACACTTTCCTAATGAGATGCACAAGAATTCGCAAGAACCCTGAACTGCCTCATAAGATTTTATGAAACAACGAGCTTAGAATATCTTATAAAGGAAAGGGTGTATTTCACACGGCCTGAATATTGCCTCCTTAACGAAAATATTTTTAATGATTAGAATATTCGATTGATTGGAAACCTAACTCGAACGTGAGTTAAAAATATTTAGGCATAACTTTAGCTTATTACGTAATAATTTAACATTATGCGTAATTAATTTTAGTGTTAAAATATGCGAGAAAATAATTAGAGAAAAGGTGCTTCTCTGAATGCATGACTGAAATTAAAGAAACAAATACGTATTTGAGTCATGAAAGAACATTATCAATTTTGTGTACATGCATATCTCAGCCCATCCTCCTAAAATGATTGTAGTTATGGTTACTATTACCAAAAGTATCCATATGTGCTGTTGGATCTTTAAATGTTCACGTTTTGTATTACTTTGTCCAAATGACTTTCTAGAAATTCGAAAAAGTAAATAATAACTTACCTAACCCAACCTAACTAACCTAAACTAATATAACCTAACCTCACCTGTCCAAGCAATCCTAGGAATAATACGCGTTAACTTAGGCCTAGCATAATATATATATGTGCTATACTAGACCTAAGAATGTTTAAGTCTGGTTTTTATCTCTTTTGTCTCTTTGACAAAAGAGACAAATACTATTATACTATTAAAAATAGCAGTACAAAAAATGAACATTTTGATGATGATCCAACAGTACACATTGGTACGTTCGACCAAAGAGTTGCTATAAGTACTACCATTTTAGGAGGATTGGTTGGTACAGGTTAAAGACTCTGAGAGGAAGACTCTTACAGAGAGAGAGAGAGGGTGGTGTGCTATTGAACGGTAAATATCAAAATAAAACACAGACGTCAGTGTGTATGTTACAAGAATGGGAAAGTGAGCAGAATGTTTATAAATGAATTATAAATAAATATAAATAATTTATAAATGATTTGTATAAACACTAATCAACAGGAAGTCAAACTGAAGGATGAAGGCTCCACAGCTCACAACAAAAGGTCAAACTTAGGGATAACGTTCCAAGAAGAGTCAAATTATTGCCAAGAGAACCAAAACCTAGCCTAACTATCCTAGGCCTAACTATACCTAAAATTATAATACACTTAAAATTCGAGAATATGCCGTTTTTGTAACACATTACATTAATATTCGGGACGAGCTAAAGATACTTTATAATAATGGTGTTCCTGTGATCATTCTCTTATTCGAAACTTCATAACTCAAGGTTATTATTGGTTATTATTGAAACAACAACCTCGTAGTTGTTTCTACGAGGTTGTTTATACCAATAAATTTATAGTGGCTTCGGAGCCCATAAACTGTTAAATAAATGTAAACAAAGCCAGAATGATTCAATGAAGAATTTCAGGTTTCGTAAATGATTTTGTAAATGCTAGAATGTAACAGTATTCACTATTTAAAGAGCAGATAGGAGAAAGCACTAGTATATCAGCCAGCTTCCCCCACGTACATGACAGCTGGAGACGGGGCTCAAGAGTAGGACCTCGCATCCATATGACACAGATAGGTGTAAGGGCATGTACACATTCATGTACGTACGTGCAGATAAACACAAGTGTACACAGGCAGAAACAAATACACACCAGTCCCCTTGTAAACTGATTACTTATGTATTAACTTCATAAATTACTATGAAAGCAAGCGAAAATGAGATGAAAAGGGCTGTGTAAATACTATATATTGTGTGTTCGTAGGACTCTGAGGATAGTTGCAGTGCTGTGGGGGGTGGACGCATTGTTGTGGGGATGGTTGCAATGCTGCGGAGGGTGGCCATAACACAGAGGAGGGATGAACATAATGTTGTAAAGGTGGACAAAGTGCGTGGGGGGAGTAGGGTGGACACAACTAGATTGGTCTGTACACTCACACTACTTGTAGACACCCTACTCTATCCAACCCATAATTACCTCAACCTAGAGGCACTCCGCTTACCCCTACCCAGTTCTCACACCACCTAGAGTCAATGCACTGACCTCCTCCTCCCCCCTGTAATGATTAGATATTAATAATCATGGTATTATATGGCTCGCTTTATTGACACAAATGTATCCACCTCTTTGCCAGACTAGGTGGGAGAACATTGATCACACCCTTCCCCACGAAAAGGTAGGGTACAGGGATCTCTCCCCCCCCCCTTCCCCACGACAAGATAAGGAACAGGGATCTCCCCACGAAAAGGTAGGGAACAGGAATCTCTCCCCGCCTCCTCACGACAAGATAGCGAACAGGAATCTTTGCACTCCCCTCCCCACGACAAGAGGGGGAAACAGAGATCTCCCCAACCCCTCCCCACTAAAAGGAAGGGGACAGGGATCTCTCCCCCCACCCTCCCCACGAAAAGGTAGGGAACAGGGATCTCTTCCCACGACTAGGCAGGGAACAGGGATCTCTCCCCTTCCCTCTCCCCACGACTAGGGAGGAAACAGGGATGTTTATATATATATATATATATATATATATATATATATATATATATATATATATATATATATATATATATATATATATATATATATATATATATATATATATATATACACCGCCAAAATCAGCCTCACTGAGGACCAAATCACATTCCTAAATCAAATAATAAACATTCACGTTGTGTCCAGACCAGGCGAGAGAGGGTCCGCAAGGTCAGTTGGAGATCCTATTGGACGACATATTCGACCTTGATACACAAAGGAAGGTCACTATTCAAGATACTTTACAAGCAGAGCTTCTGGTAAGGAGGAAAGACTCAAGGCAACTACAGAAGCACAATACTATCTCCTGAACGCAAATGAGCAAATAAGAACTTTCGCAAGAATAAGGAAATTGTTGTCAGAAGAAGTGACGAGTCGCTAATATTCATCATCCTTAAAAAGGATGAATATAATGAGAGAATAAACCTCATTAACACTTACTAAACTAAACTGCAAAGTATCTGTAAGGATACTACTGCCGAATTGAAAACAAGAGTTCAACAGATTGGTTGATACTATTAATACGAAAATATCTGGACTTCACCTGCCAACATTTGCTGGGTGAGAATATACATAATTAAGGTATATACTTAATTAGAATATACCTTATACCCTAGAATATACCTTATACCCTAGAATATACCTTATATTCACAATCAACTTGGTAATGATCCAGGACGGACCGAAAAGTCGTCGTCTCCTCATCTTCTGGTGTGTGGTCTGGTTATCTTATCTTCAGCCTCGTTATTGTGACTCATCGTCTGCTTCTAAATTCTTAATTAATTTTTTAACTTCCTTCTTAAGTGAGGGAAAAATGAAACACACAAAGATTCGTGCAAGGATTGTTGTTCTATATTAATATATACATTATACATATCAATTAGTCTGTGATAGTAAAATGAATGCCTATTTGCACAATGAAAAAAAAACAAAAGCATAGGCCTATATATCATCCTATATAGGATGATCACCCAATGAAATTCAATACTCCCGAATCCCAGAAAAAAAGGAGCATGCCGAAAGAAAGGAAAAAAAAAGGGTATTTCTGTATTGAAGCAAATTATGCATCGTAAGTTTTGCAGAAGATACGTGAAACTTGGAAATATTTCCTGTTGGTAAGAGAGTCTGCCCATCAACTGAAGCTGTGTGGAATACAACTCTGGTCTGGCAAGCCAGCGCGCGCAGCCATCTACCTCAGGTCTTATCCACACCAGTTGCCAACCGTCACTTTATTCCGCACACTGCTCTTTCCTCTGCTTGAGAGCTTATAAAACGCAAAATCGAGATGGAGATTCGAGTTAAAACATGTCACAGGAAAGCTGTGAGGAATGCATATAGATGGCGAGTTGTGGTGGAGGGAGTGTAAGGTGATGGAGCAGTAGGAGAGGGCGGGGTTAGAGAGAGGGAGGGAGGGAGGGAGGGCAGGAGGGAGCGTGGGAAGGCCAGGTTGGGTGCCTCAGGTTGTCAGTGTGAGGCCTCACCCGGTCAGAGGTGTTGCAAGCGGAGACAGGATAGTGTTGCTAGCAACATCGCCCCTACACTCGGGTTCAACTACGCGGTTATCCCCTACCGCGTTCGTTCACAGAGATAAAACTTATAATGTGTTGCCTGTGATGAACAAAGCCAATTATCAATGATACTTCTGAAAGTAACTTATTGTGAATGAGAGAAAACTGTGATTTATTATTAGTCAATGGAAATGTTGAAATTAGTATAGGTTAATAAGGTGCGTTAAATATTAATTTATTGAATTATAAATGTTGACTTACTAATCAACATTGACGAGTGAACTCAATACTTTTCTTATGAACAATAGCCAATAATGTGTTTAGCACGATATTAATAATTTAGTTATATTTTCATTATCCAAATGAAGATGTGATTCGTTTGTTTTCGTCATTTGCTTCATCCTGTAAACAAACTATAACTAGTGAAGTAAACTAAAGCTTCATGTAGACAAATCGTGAATCAGGAGCAATATTTCAATACATGACGCGCTTTTGAAGTGAATATGTTTCATATACCTATAAATAGGCTGAGCAGGAAAAACGAGACATTGTCTTAACTTGAGAGTGAGAACAAATACACGAAGGCAGTTGTGGACCTCGCTAACAAGGTGTGGAGCTCGCTAGCAAGGTGTGGAGCTCGCTAACAAGGTGTGGAGCTCGCTAACAAGGTGTGGAGTTCGCTAGCAAGGTGTGGAGTTCGCTAGCAAGGTGTGGAGCTCGCTAGCAAGGTGTGGAGCTCGCTAACAAGGTGTGGAGCTCGCTAGCAAGGTGTGGAGTTCGCTAGCAAGGTGTGGAGCTCACTAACAAGGTGTGGAGCTCTCCAGCAAGGTGTGGAGTTCGCTAGCAAGGCGTGGAGCTCGCTAGCAAGGTGTGGAGCTCGCTAACAAGGTGTGGAGCTCTCTAGCAAAGTTGTGGAACTCGCTAGCAAGGTGTGGAGCTCGCTAACAAGGTGTGGAGCTCTCTAGCAAGGTTGTGGAACTCGCTAACAAGGTGTGGAGTTCACTAACAAGGTGTGGAGCTCACTAACAAGGTGTGGAGCTCGCTAGCAAGGTTGTGGAGCTCGCTAGCAAGGTGCGGAGCTCACTAACAAGGTGTGGAGCTCGCTAGCAAGGTGTGGAGTTCGCTAGAAAGGTCTGAAGCTCACTAACAAGGTATGGAGCTCGCTAACAAAGCTCGCTGACAATATGTAGGCCACTCTAACGATATGTGGACCTCACTAACACGTGTGTACGACCTTAACGATGTGTACTGTGTTTGTGGGCACTTCGCTCCCATAAAGTGCGTGCCTAGTGTACTGGCTCGTACTGAGAGACACCGTCAAGTTCTCTCAAACTAGACTGTGCTGACAGGAAACAAATAATTATCTTCTGTCTTTCTGTGAGTAATACTAAAAAATACATATGAAATTTGTTGCGTCAATTTGGTAAAACACATCTGTTGCACTTTATTGCTTCACATTGATTTTTTGTTTATGGAGTAGCGATCGTAACGATAACAAATATTTGTCAAATTCTTGGAGGAGTGTAACTACTCGCTCGTAATTGATCGAGCGATCGACCAATTCAATTCTGGGAATTGGGAAAGTTTAAACAGGTAGTTCACATTTGTTCACATTTTTAACCGCATTATTAATCAAATGATGTTTCAGTAAAAAAAAGTTATCTTCTAAATAAACTTTGCATGTGACTTTAAACTTGAAATCGCCATAATATTTAATATTTCGTAATATCAATCATTACACCATAGATTTCATCGCAGCAAAACTTTGAGTTCGACGCTCAAGAGAGTTGAATCTCGTATCGGATGCTCAGAACTTTGAACCTGGTATAGAGGTTCCTTAGAACCTTAGAGCGCTGACAATCTTATCCGAAGCTCAGAACGTTGAACCTCGCATCCGAACCTCAGAGCGTTGAACACTGTATCCGAACCCCTGAATAACCCACAGCATTATCTTCAGGTTTACCTAACTCTCTCTCGAGAGAGAAAACTTTAGACATTGCTTCTTGTTAAACTCACGACTAAGTCCTTTGCCAGAGACAATAGAGAGACTTAAACATGGGAGAAGAAGATTTGAGTTATTCCTCAAGATTCCTCGAGGGAGGAAGTTGGAAATGGGAGCTATAACATATTGTCAACTTTAACAGTGACAGAGGTAGACTTTTATAGTAGAAAACAGGTGCAACTTTTGCTGACTTTCTGAACTTTTGTATGATATATGGATCATGTGAATGTAACCTATGGCTTTTGTGGATAGGGATAAAAACAGACTTTATGATTTAACAATCCAAGCCCATTGTGGGTAGGAATAAACATAGACTTTACAAGTGTGTAATCTGTGCCCTTCGTGGGTAGTAATGAACATATACTTTACAACAAAAATACACATAAAAAAGCAGGTTACTTTACTTTGGTTTTCATCCTGTGATAAAAACCGTTTACATTAGTGGTAAAACTTTGAGTTCGACGCTGATTTATATATACGTCCGCCGCTGATTTTTAACGCTGATTTATATATACATATTAATGTTAGCGGTTATTAAGAAGCACACTTTAAAGATGAAGAAATTATTCATTTCGTTCAGATTCTGAAACACTGACGACATAAATCTTCAGAACACACTGTTCTGCTTCAGTAAGTGTCGCACTTGAGGACAGGCAATATTGATTGTTACAACAGCTTTGAGTGGGGGGACCCAGAAGCTTACAGCTGTATCTAAGCTTATATATGGAATGAGTATCATTACAGGTCGAATACCTGTAATGGTATTCGACCTGTATATTGAATACAGGGGATGTAAGCTTCCCAGTTTACATTGCGTATAGTACAGCTTTACCAAAGGCTTACCTGCCCGTGATGGTTGATAAGCTGGATTTTACATCCTTACACCTGGTGCATCTGTTCCCTAGCAGTAATTAGGTACCTGTGAGTCAGGCAACTATTGAGGGTTGCATCCTTAAGGGAACCCATACATCTGATGCCTCTGTACACTTAGCAGTAAATAGGTCCTTAGGAGCTAGCTAACTGTTCTGGGTTGCATCCTAGAGGAAGTACAGTCATTGGCCTAAAGGGGCCGGGGGCCCTCGATAAGCCTAAAAAAATCTCTCTCCGACAAAGAAAAACAAAATTTTCACTATATAATTTCCGTTTCCCTGTTGTGTTTTTTTTTATTTTAATTAAAAAATGTTATATTTATGCCTATATTTTGACGATTTTGACACATTGACAGAACAGCTTTTGTGTCAGTGTCAGTGTCAATACTCAAGCCTAATACGTCGTATATATTAGGAAGTCGACCAATCCGTTAAAAATGTGACGTGCTAGTAAAAAATGAAGCAACGCAATTCTGACATTTTCCATGTCTTGACCTCGAAAGGTTAGGTGGGTTCCTTCGGTTCGTACCTTTCTGATTAGTTAAAATAGTTGTATTTTCTACGGAGTGGCAAATCTAGGATATGAGTTGAGTTGTCTATTTTCGTACGCTTCTGGTTAGGCAGAACCCACTTCAAATTCAACGTTAAATTGCTGATTTGCTTTGAAACTGAAAAGAATTCACGCTGTGAAGACTAAATAATACTGAACACTCAACCCACACACCTGAACCTACACATTTTAAATTAAAAGAAACAACAACGTTTCGTTCCATCTTGGACCATTATCAAGTCCTGTAAATAGGTTCCTGGGACTTGATAATGGTCCAGGACGGAACGAATTGTCCATTCCTTGATTCTCAGATGTGTGGGTTGGGTACCTAAGATGTGCGGGTTAAATGTCTTAAGATGTGTGGGTTGGGTGCCTTAAGATGTGTGTGGGTTGGATGTCTTAAGATGTGTGGGTTGGGTGCCTTAAGATGTGTTTGGGTTGGATGTCTTAAGATGTGTGGGTTGGGTGCCTTAAGATGTGTTTGGGTTGGATGTCTTAAGATGTGTGGGTTGGGTGCCTTAAGATGTGTTTGGGTTGGATGTCTTAAGATGTGTGGGTTGGGTGTGTTAAGATGTGTGTGGGTTGGATGTCTTAAGATGTGTGGGTTGGGTGCCTTAAGATGTGTTTGGGTTGGATGTCTTAAGATGTGTGGGTTGGGTGTGTTAAGATGTGTGTGGGTTGGATGTCTTAAGATGTGTGGGTTGGGTGCCTTAAGATGTGTTTGGGTTGGATGTCTTAAGATGTGTGGGTTGGGTGTGTTAAGATGTGTGTGGGTTGGATGTCTTAAGATGTGTGGGTTGGGTGCCTTAAGATGTGTGTGGGTTCGGTGTCTTAATGAGTGCCTACATGGGCATGTAGGCACTCCGCACTGCAGGCGACTGCTGGAACGCGAACAAACCAATCTCGAACGACTATATATACAACTTATTTTATTTATAGATGTATACAAACAAATGATACATGAACAGCGGAAGACACATTGGTAAGCTAAGTACACAGTATAAATCTCTAGGGCTCAATGAGAGGAGCATTTCGTTTCTGTGTTTAAACATTAAGCGATTACTTTAGGGTTGAACTATATTCACTTTAGAGTTGAACTAGATTCACTTTAAGGATGATTTATATTCACTTTAAAGTTGAACTAGATTCACTTTAGGGTTGAACCATATTCGTATTTTAAAACGTCAGTATGACACTGTGGTGATGACCCAATGCGGTATAAAGGCCTTAATCCCAACACCAAACCACACCTCCCGCTATTGATGGGCCTTAAGCCCAGCACTAATCCAAAGCTCTCGCGCTTCATAGGCCTGAAGCCTAACACCAAACATAATTTAACTAGTGTGGAACATCCAGAAGCCCACTGACCATTGGGGGTTTTCAGCTTAGCAAAGCTTCGAAAGAGAATTTAATATTACACTAAAACCGAATCAGTATTATGGAAAATACGAAACATTTTCAAGCTTTTCTTAAATTTCACTAAGAAAAAGGAAAAGACTATGGCTCACTGCAGTAAGGTTGTATGAGATTGTATTATGTATATCACTCCAACAAAAATATACGCTCAAAAATTTAAGGAAAAATTATTGAAACAATCAGTACATAATGATAATATTCATTGCTGAAAGGCAATTTAAAAAAATACAAAATACTATTTTTTTTAATTAAAAAGAATATAAGAATAATCCCAGAATATTATATGAGCTGCTACGAAACGTTTGCTGCACAAAAATAGACGTGCCCAATTAATTACAAATTTTCGCATAACTACCCAAATCACAATACCAAAGGCTCATTACCCCCAGGCACTTATGTGTCTGACTCGGGCTATGTGCTACTTAATTAGCCTAACTAGCGCGCCTAGTTTGAAGTGATAGGGGCGAACCCCGCATCAACAGTGGCTATAATTACGTTTGGATATGTAAATGACTTTCTAGTAACACATATTAAGGAAGATGCGGCTAAAACACCATAAAGAGGGTGATTACCGATCGTTCCAAGATGGACTGCACTTGTTTTTAAGTGGTATTACTCTACGAAAGAAAACTAAACACCTGATTGGGGGTCAGAGTCGACTCACCCGGAAGCTCATTTTGTTCTATAGAGACTTCGGAAGATGACACGACTAATAATATCCACTTTCTGTTTTAAGGTAAAACTAGAAGCAAATAATGACAGACGTCTCTACCCTAACCAGCTTAACCTAATTTAACCAGATCAACCTAACCTGACTAACCTAACCTGACTAAACTAACTTAACCAAAACTAGCCACTCCTTACCTAATTTGCCATAAGATAACCCAACCTAACTTATCTCAACCCATGTTAAGGTAAACCAACTTCACCTAACGTAAACAAACGTAAGATATACCGTTCAAACGCAGCAAGTCGCCACTTCAAGCACGAACCAGCGCCCAGATATACTTAGACGTGCATAATGGTCTTGAATATGTCAATATTGCCACCGTGACTGATGAAAAGCTTGGTAAACCGCTCCTGTCATCCACACCCACCCAACTGACCAACCGGACAAAAAACTAATCTAAGAACACACTTTAATTTCACTTTCAGCAACAGACTTGTGGAGTTACTGCGATGTTAGCAATTTGACTCCTTATAAATACGATTTTTTTGTGTGTAACAAGGATTTAAATAACCAACCAATACATATAAAATGAAAATGACTACGTTTCAGTCTGTCCTGGGCTTAATAAGGGTTCAAGATGGATTCTTATGAACACGTCGTCATTTTCAACTCATTTCACATGTGTGGGTAGTGCTGTTTGTGTTCAGCTCCATGCTTAATGAATTAATTTTGTACGAAAGTGGTTGAGGCGTTTTGATTCACAAACAGACATCAAATTTGTTGATTATTAATACTATTTTCCTAAGTTTTTCCAATTAGATTTGCGATTTTAGTTAAATTATTATGCCACTTTTTTGTGTGTCAAAATGT